GATGAGGTGGAGGAGGAGGTGATGGTAGTAGAGGAGGAGGTGGTGGTAGTAGAGGAAGAGGTAGTGGAGGAAGAGGTAGTGGAGGATGTGGCGGTGGTGTCCCACCGCGCCAGAGCCGCATCCTGCCGTGTGCGGTATGTTGCCTCTGCCATCTGCTGGGGAAGGTGCTGGGGTGCGTCGTGGTGCAGCGCCGCAAGCGCCAGGAGCGCGTGTGCGGCCAGCGGCAACACTTTACCAAGCAGGTCGTCTTCTTGCTTCACGTGTGTCTGCAGCTGCTCTGCCGCCCTGATGGCAATGATGGGGCCCGCTGCTGGTGGCGGCGTTGGTGGTAATCGCGATCGCGATGGCGATTGTGTCGAATGTGCTGTCGTTGTCGTTGTCGTTGTCGTTGTTGTTGTGGTGGTGGTGGTTGTGCGCGATTGGTGGCCGTCCACGTGTTGTCGACCAGCCCTTGATGCATCGCCGCTGCGCTTGCTCTCCAGCTGTTCATCACCCGCGCCATTGACTCTGCTATCATTGCTCGCTGCACTCCCCCCCTCACCACCTTCCAGCTTACCACCACTACTGCCATCGCCTCCACGCTCTTCCGTTGTCATCACCATCCCCATCAGCACCGTCACCATCCCCATCAGCACCTTGACCTCCGCCGTCACCACCGTCATACCACGTGCTTGCTCGGCGCGCGCCGGTGCGGCACCGCAGGCACAGGTCACAAAAGCGGACGGTGGATCCAAACTTCCCGCGCTGCAACGCAAGCTTGGTCCCGCGCTGCAACGCAAGCTTGGCCAGCGTTGCGTAATGGTGTGCGGCGCGCGTGAGCACCAGCTCCAGCAGCTGCCGGCTGTGGCCGTCCTGTGGGTTGTCTGCAATCCACTCCACCGCTGGCTCCAACAGGTCCAAGGCAACGAGCTGTGCATGGTACGCATCAGTGTCGGGTGGCCGACGCGGTGGCGGTGATGATGAAGATGTTGGTGGTGTTGCTGTTGATGATGACGAAGCACTGGCACCAGCACGACCACTGGCACCAGCACGACTACGCCCCTGCCCCTGCTGCTGCTGCTGCTGCTGTTGCTTGTGTGCGCTTGGCGTGCGGGCTGCACCACGTCTTCCATCACTGCCATCACCACCACCATCACTACCATCACTACCATCACTACCATCACGACTGCCACCATCGCCATCGCCACGATGATCAGCGAGGTTGAGCCGGGCGAGGACGTGCGGTGGCATCTGGCTCAGGTGCAGGTTGATGGCGGCTGCAAGCTTCGGATACCGCTCTGCCTCCACCAGGTTACGTGCGTTGGCCAGGAGTCGACACACCGTTGCATCATCGTCGTCCGTCTGGGGCTGGTCGTCCTCCAAAATGCGGATGGCAATCTTGTACAGCAGCAGCGCGACCGAGTGCGAAAACGGGTTGGTCACGTTTGAGTTTGGGTCTGTGGACAAGGACCGCGATTGCTCAATGAGGGCGGTGAAGTCGTACAGCCGCACAATGTCGTCATCCTCGCCCTTGTACAGCCAGTAGGTGTGTCCTTCCTCCGTGCAGTTCTTGTTGAGGAAGGTCTTCATGGATTGCGCAATGGCCACAACGGCCTCTGGATCAAACCCGCTCATCTCGGGCAGGTCCTCTGTTGTGATTGTCTCGTAGCGTGACACAGCACCGTTCTGTGTTGGCGGTGGAGGGGGGGATGTAATTGGGCCGTGTTGTGTTGTGGTGGTTGGGCGTGATGTGTTGGTTGTGTAT